CAAACCCGGGACCCTTCAGTCCCCAAGCCGACGCTCTATCCATTGAGCCAAACCGGTTTCAGTTCACCGTGTTTTTTTTTTTTTGTTTTGTTTGTTTGTTTTTTGTTTGTTTGTTTTGTTTTTTTATAGATTTTAAATATACATTTTTTATTGATTTTTCACAGAGAGGAACAGAGAGGGATAGAGAGTTAGAAACATTGATGAGAGAGAATCATCGATCAGCTGCCTCCTGCATACCCCCTACTGGGATGTGCCCGCAACCAAGGCACATGCCCTTGACCGGAATCATGGTACCTGGGACCTTTCAGTCCGCAGGCCGACGCTCTGTCCACTGAGCCATACCGGTTTCGGCTCACCCATTTTTATTGTGTATCTGGCTCCTGAAGACACTGGATTTACCCCAGGTGCAAGTCCACATCTTCAGATGGAGATCAAGGGTCAGCCAGCTTCCTATAAAGGACCCGGCAGTCAATATCCTCTGCTCTGTGAGCCACACGATCTCTGTTGCAACTCCTTAACCTTGCGCTGTCGTGGAGACCCAGCTGTGGTCCCAGTTCAACTTTGTATATGGATGTGACTTGCATGTAACTCTCTCCTGTCACACAATATGATTCTTTTGATTTCTTCCCCGAACCATTTGGTAAAAAGCAAATTTAAGAATGGTGTTTAGCCCATTCTTAGCTGGTGGACTTGACAAAAACCAGATGGCCCATCAGTTTTGGCCTGTGGGCCGTAGTTTGCTGCCCCTGATGAAGAGTGTTGTTCAAGAGCTTCTGCTGCTTTTCCACAGGATCCAAGAAGAATCACAGGGAGCCCAGAGCTTTTCCACCAGCAGCTCACTTCCAAAGAGGCGCCTTTTTAAACACTTGGGAACTGTACACTTGAATTATCCGAGTTACATGAGCCGAACAAAGGCTGCTGTTGACTGGCTTGCGCTGGCCTCTTTGGGTGGCCCCCTCTTCACTCTGGGGCACTCAGGGGTAAGGATGCCAGGCCAGTGGCAGCATCTGGGTTAGCAGCAGGGAGAGCTACGGCATGAAGACAACTGTGAGGGGCGGGGAATAGATCGTAGCCAGAGGGGCGATGGAAAGTGCATTCAGTGGGAACGGACCCTGATCACAGTTGAAATGTACGTAAACTGGGAGCATCCGTACTTAGTAGTTCTGTGTATGCAGCTGACTCGGGCTTCCGGACAGTTTCCCCCTCGCTGTCACTCCCACAAAACCACCCTCACCCAGAGGGTGCGCCTATTTCTTTTAGGAGCCCAGCACACGGCAGGGTGGGCTTCTGGTCCATTTTTCTCCACATAGAGATAGTCCATTCCCCTAAATTAACCTCCTCTCGTGACTCACCTGAAAGAAGCACGTGTCAGTGAGTAAGCTAAACCACCTTCCCACAGCCCCACAGAAACCGCGGCTGGTGGGTTTCCTAAAAAGCACCGAGCAATCACTGCCCTTTCCTCTCCACCGCAAAGCAGGCAGAGGGGGCTGCAGGGAGGACAGAACAGAGAGTGAGTTCTTTTGTTTGTTTTGGTTTTCACAACTTACCACTCTCTGGATTGTTATCCTTTATTTTATATGTATTTTTTAACACAGCATGTTTGAAAGCACATTTCTCCCACAGACACATCATTGGGCTTAGAGAGGGCGTGGTTGCTAAGTCTGGATTAGTGCAGGAGTCTTGCCCAGGGATCCGGGAACTTCTGAGCAGGCTTTGGTCATGTGAGCAACCTGGAGTATGAACGTACTCCACACACACACACACACACACACATACAGTCGAAGCAGTTACTAAATGTTTGGCAGCACAGCAAACAACAGTCAGATGTGGCATTGTCTTTGCCCGAGGAAGCTCAACCTTGTGGGTGGTGACAACCTGCATTTCGCCTTTTGCCTGGAGATCTGAACTGAGTGAAAATGCTAGTTAACCCAACGAAAGCATCAAAATGTAGTTTCCAACTCCACGTGGTTGAGTTTTCCAGAGTTCAGTGTGAAGCTCTTTGCTTTTCTGTTTGTTTTGCCCCTACCAGGCCGCTGTGCATGCTCAGGCACCGTTAGCACGAGCGCTCACCCACCTGGGTGGGGCTCAGCATTCACTGGTTCGCTGTCGCCTTTTGCTGCTGTGGGTTTTCAGCCCCAAGCTCAGTGAGGGCTTACACCTAGACCCCTGTATATAGCGAATTGGCCTGTGGTAGTCCCCTTCTCAGTCTCCCTCTCTTTGGTTTTAGTTACCCACGGGCAATAGCAGTCTGACAGTATTAACTGGGATATTCCAGAAATAAAGAATTCGTAAGTCGTAAATTGTGTACATCCTGGGCGGTGTGTTGACTACTCTGCTGTGTGCAGCATTCCTCTTAGATGTGATCATATCTTTGTCCAGCATGTCCGTACTGTCTACGCTCCATCATGCCTGCTCCTCACTTAGTGACCCTCTCAGTTATCAATAGACTGTCCCAGTGTGGCAGTGATGGCGTTCAAGTTACCCTTATATTATTATTATTATTATTATTATTATTATTATTATTAATTATTATTATTTAAATATGGAACACTTTACGAATTTCGTGTCATCCTTGCACAGGGGCCATGCTAATCTTCTCTGTATCGTTCCAATTTTAGTACATGTGCTGCCGAAGCGAGCACAAGTTACCCTTGTTTTGGTTAATAACGGCCCCAAAGTGCAGGAATAGTGATGCTGGCAATTCGGAGATGCTGAAGAGAAACTGTCAAGTGTATGTATAGGGTTTGGTACTATTCGGACCCCCATGGGGGTCTTGTAACACATCCCTGTGGATAAGAGGAGGAGGGCCATTGAAGACAGATCGGTTTTGCCCACTCGGGCTTTCCCACAGCTGGCGAGGCTGTGAAGACCATTGCTCTGCTCAGAGGACAGCAGATAAAACCTTAGTCATGTAGAGCAGCCACGAGGCGATGGGGGTTTGCCTTGTTGTTACCATTATTTCTGCATCTCTGGCACAGGTGAGGGGAAAAGGAGCTGGGAAAAAGGAAAACCTATGGGCGATTCAGTCACTCCACGCTGGACAGCTCCCAGCCTTCGGAGTCTCTGGTCTCTGGGTTCCAGGAGGGCGGGGACCAGAGAGAGAAAAGATTCACTCTTCACAGGACAGAGGAGTGTCTTGGGAGTTTTCTGTGTGAGCCAGGAGTTGTGTGCCTGAGCCTATGAAACAGCTGCTTCGGGCTGTGCTTGGAAAGGTGTGAAGAGCAGGCTGGCGCTTGGAGCTAGAGGAGCCAGCAAGACTCTCATCTTAGACAGCTCGCTCTGCGTTTCGGCTGCTTGTCCCTCAAACACGGACTTGGTCCCTCCCCTGCCATCCTGCTGGCCTGACCATGTCTGGAAGACAAGGTGTAGCTGCATTTTCAAGGGACACAGACAATAACATGAATCTGAGGAAAGCAACTAGGATGGGGAGGGATGTGGAGCCACTGTCGAGTGTTACCCCTCTGTTTCCTCATCTGTGAAATGGGGCCACCTCCGGGGAGTGTCCTGTGAGATTGCAGTGAGATAATGGTCTCAGCTCTGTGCCTGCACTTCTAGGCTATTATCGTAGAATAATGTTGGTTCTTCTCCTAGGAGAAATATGGAAGACACTCAGATTGTTTAGTCTAGACAAGGAAAGATTAGGGAAAGATATGTGAGCTGTCTTTAGATATTTAGAGGATTACTCTGTGGCAGAGGGAACAACCTTATTTTTAGATTGAAGAAAGTATGACTATAAAATGTGGCCTCCGCAGGGAGGCTGCTTTTACTTCGGCGGGCGTGTGTGCCGAGGATGCTGAGGACAGCAGGCTGGCTCTGCTGCGGCTCCCCTCTCCAGCTGTGCCCTCGGTGGGAGCTCGGGGAGATGTGCTCCGGGTGGGAGGTCCTTTGGCCTAGACGCCTCCATTCTCTTCCATCTCTGGGACGCCACGAAGCAAAGGCTTGAGTGTTTGGCTCCTCTGGGGGAACTCATGAAGCCGGGAACCGCGTACCATAAACCAGAACGAGCAATTCCCGAGGCTCTTGGGGAATCCATTGGGTACAAAACAGCAAGCTCATTTGCTCAGAGATGATGCTCAGCTATTCCTTCCTGGTACCAGCTTTCCCGGGCCACCATAGCTAAGCCCCACAGCCCAGGCAGCCTCAACAACAGAAATGTGTTTCTCTCAGTTTGAGGGGCTGGACGTCCCAGATTAAGGTGTTTGGCAGAGGTGGTTTCTTCTGAGGGTTCTCTCTCCCTGGCTCGGAGGGGCCTGTCTTTGCATGGTCTTTCCTCTTCTTTTTAAAAAAAAAAATGTTTTGTTTTTTAATATATTTTATTGATATTTTACAGAGGGGAAGGGAGAAAGATAAGAGAGTTAGAAATATCGATGAGAGAGAAACATCGATCAGCTGCCTCCCACACACACACTGGGGATGTAGATGCCCTTGACCAGAATTGAACCTGGGACTCTTGAGTCCACAGGCTGATGCGCTATCCACTGAGCCAAACTGGTTAGGGCTAAAAAAATGTTTTTATTGAGGGAGGCAGGGAGAGAGAGAGAAAGAATCATGGATGTGAGAGAGAAACTTCGGACAGCTGCCTCCTGCACGCCCCCTCCTGGGGCCGGAACCCGCAGGTGCTCTGACTGGGAATGGAACCGGGGACCTCTTGGTACATGGGAGGTCGCCCCACCAACTGAGCCACACAGCCCAGGGGGCATCGCCTCTTCTTACAAGGGCACCCATCGTTGGCCTAGCACCCAGCCTCCTGACCTCTTTTAACCTTCACTAGTTCTTTAAAGGCCTTCTCTCCACAGGCAGCCACAGTCTCAGGAGCTGGGGGCGAGGACTCCAGCCTCGGCCTCGGGGGAGGGTTTTGGGGGCACACCATTCATCCCATCACACTTCCCTACAGGGGATTTGCTTGCCCTTTGGGTCCTCGGGATTGCTGGTCATCACCGGCCTTCAGGGTTTCTGTTTCGTGTCCCTGAAACGGTCTCTGGCCTGATTCCCTCCCTCAGGTGAGCGGCCCTTCCCCTGCACGTGGCCGGACTGCCTTAAGAAGTTCTCCCGCTCCGACGAGCTGACCCGCCACTACCGCACCCACACCGGGGAGAAGCAGTTCCGCTGCCCGCTCTGCGAGAAGCGCTTCATGAGGAGCGACCACCTCACCAAGCACGCCCGGCGCCACACCGAGTTCCACCCCAGCATGATCAAGCGATCCAAAAAGGCCCTGGCCAGCCCTTTGTGAGGTGCTACCTGCCCGCGGCAGCCAGGAGGGACCGGCCCGGACAGACACCACGACTCCCCACCCACGGACAGACACGCGGAACCCAGGCCCGGGAGGCCCGCCGCCAGCACAGGAACCCCGCTCTCTGGTCCATATTCTGATTCCCCCTCTCCCCGCGTTGTTTTTAAAAAGCACATTGCGGCCCAAGGGAGCTCCGAACCGCCTCTGACTTTTGGAGGAAACGCAAAATTTCCCCCCCCCTTCTTTATTATTTTTTTTTGGGGGGGGGGGGGTAGGTGGGGGAGGTGGGGTGGGAGAGTGATCGTGGGTGGGGTTCGGCCAAGGCTGGGGCAGAATTTTAACGATTCGACACTGGTGTACATATGTCTGATGGGGTGAGTTGACCTGTGGCATCACAGTGATTCCGGGCCCTCCCTGCTTGCTGTCTCTCAAGAATTGTTTTTTTTTGTAAACCTTTTAATGTAATGACGAGTGTGCTTCGGTTTCTTTAGCAAAACCACTCTCTTGAATCACGTTAACTTTTGAGACAAAAAGTAAAACAACGCCATAGCACAGCTGTCTTTATGCAAGCAAGAGCACACCTCCTCCAGCATGACCTGTCATCTAAAGACTTGGAGACAAACCAGTTACTTATAGTCAATGGGTAAGCTGTCTGAATTTATACTAATCAAGACAAACCTTTGGAAAGGTTACACTTAAGTACAGAACTTTTAAACCTTGCTTTGTATGAATTGTACTTTCCAGAACATAAGCTGCACTTTAATTTGTAATGCAGAGGATGAAATAAGTTACGTTCATGCTTTAAGGATAGAAGCAGACATTTCTTTTTGGAACCACGTTATTATAATCTGCTTATGTTACAGTATACACGTTTCCCTAAGAAGTCACAGAGGATGTGAGGGCAGAAATATATGCAATAGATGCTGAAGGAGAAGGAGGGTAGGTTGTTTTGTTGTTGTTGTTGTTGTTGTTTAAATAATTTAAAAAGAACAAACAGGATGTTGAGTCTTAACTTTTCCAAATGTTCCGGTTCTTTCAGTTCACACCACCTTATTGTACCACAATGCCACCAAGGGAGAGGGCTTTGACTCTGGTGCGTTTTATTTGAATGGATGCCTAACAGTAGCTAGTTGTGGAAACACCTATGTTTTTTTGGGGGGGCCGGGGTGGGGGAAGGTGTGTTGGTCTCCTTCCCATGTTCCTACAAAACTCCCACTAACAGGTGCAAGGCTTATGTAAAACGAAAAGGGAGCTGAACTGTGAAAAGAAACACGTGCCCCTCTAAAGTAGTGAGCGCCAAGGGACAATACCACGGTGATCTCAGAGGAGACCGCCAAGCCGGCACGTGGAATCCACACGGATGACAGCCCACCCCTGTACTTGATACATCCGAAGCCTCACCACTATGTATCTTGTATCCAGGTGTCTACAGTGGCCCAAACCACTACGTCCATCACACGCCACGTACCTGAAAAACTTCCTTTGGCCTTTCCACGGTCAAAGACACGAACCGAGTTCTCACAGCGAAGAAGAAACCTCACAGTGGGGGGGAGTCAGCAGCGATGGTGGGAAAATGTTTACATTTTTTTTTCTTCTTCTTCTTCTTCAGAAACAACGCTTTCCGACCATTTTATCTGGCATTTGACACGGGGAGCTGTAATGCCCTGGAGTTTGCACATGTGCTAGAAAAGACCTGTGGTGTAAACCCGGGCCACCTCCCTGCCAGCGGACTGCGTTATTTCACCCTACACGGGTTCGTGTCCGGGTCAGAACCAGTGTGGACTCCTGCTTCCAACACAGTAGCCATCGCTCACGTGGTGGGTTTTGCTTTTTTTTTTTTTTTTTTTTCCTTTTTGTTTTGTTCAACCAACATAGTGGTATTAGTAGTTCTATAAAGAGAACTGCTTTTAACATTAAGGGACTGAGAGCAGTCCATGGGATAAAACGGAAAGTGTTTTCTCGCGGGGGGAAAACATGTCAGGAAAAATAAAAGAACACGTTCTACCTCTGTTTCAGATTTTTGAAACGCTTATTTTAAAACCAAATTTTAATTTCTTGTGTCCAAAAATAAGTTTTAAGGACATCTGTTCTTCCATACGAAATAGGGTAGGCTACCCGTTTCTGACGGAGCTCATGGACTGGTTCTGCTTGGGATCCTCTGCATGCGGCCTTTTGGGGAGAGAGGAGTTTGGGGGTTGCCTAGCAACCCACCACCTTGTGCAAACTCATCTTTCCCTCCCAGAAAGAAAGGAAGGAAAGCCAGGCAAAGTCAGTGAAAGACAATCTCTGTAGTTTCAGGAGTAGTTTTCTGTATGTGGCTTTTGTCCAGCACTTAGATGGATGTAAATGCAGCAACTTGTTTTGAAAAAAAAAAATTTAAAAAAAATGCACAATTCACTTCCCCAAAAAAGTTGCTCCTTGCCTTTTTCAAGGTGTTGACAAACACACATTTGATATACTCTTATATGTTAGAGTAATGTAACGTATACACTCAAGGCTTTGTATTCTTTGTGATACATCCTGTTTTAAAAAACGTCACAAAACAGGAACCAGCATTCTAATTAGATTTACCATATGAAGATATGGTTCAACTAGGACTTACTAGAGTTCATTGAACTTAACTAAAAACCATGAAGCAATTACTTTTTATATTAAAAAGACCATGGATTTAACTTTTTAAAAAAATCCAAGTGCAGGATAGTAATTTTTGTTTACTTTTTTAACCAAACCGAATTTTTTGAAAGACTTATTGCAGGTGTTTAAGCAGAAAGGAACGCTGTTTTACCTAATACTGTACGTAGTTGTCATATTCTGGAAACATTTAGTAGTTTTAGAGTTACGGTAACTCCTCTCCTTGGTTAGGGAAGACGAGAGCCCTTCACCACTGCGGAATGATGCCCTGGCGATAAGGTCTGTCTCTACATCATGCTTCTTTTTTTTTTGAGAATTACATACGGTAGTTATAATTACAGGAACTGATTAGTTATAAGTTTGCAGATAGAGTTAGCACAGTACTCATCACTCTGGATAGCCTGCGATGTTCTCTCACACGGATGATCTGTAACACACTGTAAGATAACTGATCTTTACAACTGTTTAATCAGTTTTATTTTTGTACAGTATTAGTGACCTAAGTTATTTTGCTGTCCTGTTTTTGTAAAATCAAACAAAATTATAATAGGGGATTCTGACAAGTAGGTATTTTGTACATATGTATATATGTTGTCCAAATAAAAATAATAAAAATGATCGAGATTTCATTGTGTCCTGCCTTTCTGTGTTTTAAAGGTGGCTTATTTTTGCCACGAGAGCGGTCGTTTCTTTCTCCTGCGCTCAGAGGATGTTAGGAAGAGTGCAAAGCAGTGTCAGCCCGGAGCCTCAGCCCGGGCGGTGTCTGCGCAGACCTGTGCGTCTGTGCTGGTCACAGGCCTCCGGGGCAGGGGTGGAATGGAGGCTGCTGGAGGGGAATGTTTGTATTTTCAGGTGATGTTAGGACATCAGGGGTAAGAGCAGAGAAGGTGGCTGGGATATTAACAGGACAGTGTAAGTCACTAACAGGGTAATAAAGCTCAGACCAGGCTGAGGTGTGGTGGGAACTGGTCAGAGAAGGTGAGAGACTCAGATGGTGCTTTTGAGACATGATAGTGGTAAGAACGCCCAGGTTGACGTCTCTGAGGTGGGGCAATGGAACCATTAAGCCAAGTGAAGGTGAACACTAAAGTGTGTGTGTGTATCATTTCTATAGCTATATACTAGCTGTCTATTACTTATTAGAGTCTTACTATAGTCTCATCACGATGCCAAGTGTTGAGATCTTTTCTCTCATTTAATCCTTACAGCAGCTCTCCAGGTCATTCAGTAGATACTGTTATCCACATATTTCAGATGAAAAACTTATTGCTAAAAGACACAAATAGGCGGTATAGACAGTATTAAACCTGGATCTGCTCATTCCAGCCCTCCGTCTCTTTTTAAAAAAAAAAAAAAGTATATATATATATATATATATATATATATATATATATATATATATATTATTGATTTTTTACAGAGAGGAAGAGAGAGGTAGAGAGAGTTAGAAACATCATTGAGAGAGAAACACTGATTAGCTGCCTCCTGCACACACACACTCACCCCTTACTGGGGATGTGTCTGCAACCAAGGAACATGCCCTTGACCGGAATCGAACTCGGAACCACTCAGTCTGCAGGCTGATGCTCTATCCACTGAGCCAAACAGGTCAGGGTGCCTCCATCTCTTTATGCCTGCATCAGGGCAGCGATGGACTAACTGAGCATCATTTCCATTTGACCCATTTTATTGAGTACCTGTTAGTGCTAGGCATTGTTATCTCTGAGGACATAAAGGTAAAAAAAAAAAAAAAAAAAAAAAGACAAAGAGTTTATATGTTAGTGGGTGGAAACACATAGACAGGTAAACACATTATCCGTATAATTTTAGATAGTGATGAGCATTCTGATGACAATAGAGCCAGTGGCTTGCATGTTGGGGAAGGTGATTTTCGATGGGACTTGAACATCTGATTTGGGACCTGGATGACATGGACGAGTCAGGCCTGCAAAGATGTGGAAGGAGAGAGGAGAGCAGTGCAGGAGTTTTACAGGAATTCAAGCAGGATTTTGGTGGCTGGAATATAAATAGGACAAGAAAGGATAAGAGGTTGGGGTGGTTGGTACAGGACAGAGCACAGCAGCCTTGTATCATAGGTTATAACGTGTTGTTTGATGATTGATTCTAAGGATGGAAGCATCTTTTGGGAGGTTTAAAGCAGAGGGTGCTGTGATCAAGTATCTATGACTGCAAGCTCACTCTGGGTGCTGCATGGAAAATAGATTTTAGGAGGGCAAGAGCAGAAGCTGGGAGACAGTGAGGAGGGGGCTGTATTTGTCAAAGCAAGAGGTGGTGGTCATTCGGACCAGGCAGTTAGCAGTGGGGGTGGAGAGAAGTGAGTAGTTTCAAAAATAAGTTGGAGGCAGAATCATTGGGATTTGGTGATGTCAGCATGGCCGGGATAAGAGAGGAAAAGGCCCAGTAATGACCATCAGGCTATGGTCTTTGTTAATGCCCTTTGGTGGTGAGGTGGGAGAAAGGAGAGGCGTGGTGTGGAGGAAAAGTCATTGACTGAATTTGGACGCGTCACGTAAAAATGTCAAAAAACAACAACACACAATTGTGTATGTTCGTGTAGAGCTCAAAAAAGTGGTCTGGACTGGAGGTTTGGAAGTCACAGTCATAACTGATAGTCAGTGAATATCAGCTGAAGTAGAATACAGAGAAAGGGAGAGAAGGAAGACAAGGAAGAGACAGAAAGCTCAAGAAATAAGACAGAGGCTTCCAGTCAAGATGGTATTGTAGGTAAATGCCGTACTCACACCTTTCTACAGCCACATCAAAATATATAAAGCAAAAATAGAAAAGACAGCAGGAGAATTTCATAAAAACTAGAGTGTTAAAAAGACAGTGAATTTTAATAATGTGCATGCTTTTCAACTATCCATGAAACCTATACAAAAATACAGGATATAATAAGATTATAAGTAACACACTATAGACTGCATTTTTTGACCAACAGGCAAGAAGGTGAACAACTCATAACAAAAGGATAATTTTTAAATTAATAAAATACTAGAGATTAAAATATTGTCTTTAATAAGTCAAAGAGAAAATAAATTATATTTAGTTCAAGACAATAAAAATTAGAGAAAATTATATGTCCAAAATATACACAAAATCTGTATGTAGAGAGAAATTTAGAGCTCCATATGCTTTTAGTATCTGTAAACAAACAAAACTATAAAATAAGTTGAAAAATACCATAGAATTTCAGCACCCAGATAATTTTAAAGGCAAAAATCTTTCAAATCTTTAAGGCATCAAATCTCCTTTAGAATTTAAACTGTTAGAACATAGAGCATACAAAATGATAGGAAACAATTCAATTCACTGTGGAAAGCTAGTATAACCATGGCTTACCAGAATAGTCAAGGATGTTTTGTAAAAGAAAAGTAATGGAAAAGAATTTGCCCTAACAGGAATTAGACCTATTTTGAAGACATGAGAATTTGTAAAAAATTAAAATATTTTATAAATGGCATTCCAAATCAATGGGGAAAAGCACTATACAATTATCCATTGTATTTAATCAATTAATTATCTGGAAAAAATTTAAGGGACATCATAACATATCCACCAAAATAAATCTTATATGAATTAAAGAATTAAAAAGAGTAAAGCACTTAAAATATAGGTGAAGATTTATCAATAGTGATTTGGGGAAGAATTCAACTGCACAAATCTAATATAGAAGGCAAAACCAGAAAGATTAATAGATTTAACTAGTAATGTGAAACTATTATAAATGAGAAATTTGCCTAAACAAAATTAAAAGGTAAGGATAAGGAAAACTGTACTTCGAAGGATATTTTTAATGAATAACTTCCTTTAGAATGTATATAATTATTGATTTCAGAAAGGAAGGGAGAGAGAGAGAGATAGTAACAATGAGAGAGAATCACTGGTTGGCTGCCTCCTGCACACCTCACACTGGGAATTGAGCCTGCAACCCAGGTATGTGCCCTGACCAGGAATTGAACCCTGACCTACTGGTTCATAGGTCAATGCTCAACTACTGAGCCATGCCAGCTGGGCAATCACTTCTTTTTTTAAAATATATTTTTATTGATTTTTCACAGAGAGGAAGGGAGAGGGCTAGAGAGTTGGAAACACCAATCAGCTGCCTCCTTGCACACCTCCTACTGGGGATGTGCCCACAACCAAGGTACATGCCCTCAACTGGAATCAAACCTGGGACCTTTCAATCCACAGGCCGACATTCTATCCACTGAGCCAAACCGGTTAGGGCTGGGCAATCACTTCTTACCGTCAAAATGTGCACATCTTTAGAGAAATCTGGTAGATGATATGAATTCACACTTTACAAAATGAACAAATATAGCCAATATTTTTTTAAATGTTCACCACACTTTCTGTCAGAAATACAATATAAACAGTGAGGTACAGTTATTTGCCTATGGAATTGGCAAATAATTAAAAAAAACAAAGTACCATTTTGCCAAGAATTGGGTGAGATGGGCATATTATTAGTGGGAATTCAGATTGGCACATGTTTTCTAGGAGACAATTGGACTATAAGGATTAGAAACAATGGAGATGTTCTTAGGACCTTGTGCAGAGATGTTTGGAAGGGAGGCCGTGTGCTTCTACTGCCTCTCCCCTCCTCCCCCTCCCTCCAGCTAATTCAGCCTCCCTTT